TTTTTCAATTGTTTTTGGAACTTTTGTGAATACTTAGACTGTTAATTGTGACCTGCTGAAATTTTGAAATACATCTAAATTTATCGTATAAAAAAAACGGAGTTAAAATTATTTATATCATTAAATTTAAAATTTAAATTAATGAGGCACATTTAGAAGAATTTGTATAAATTTGTCAAAAATATAATATTTAGGTCGAATCGAAAAAAAGAGAGTAAATAAAAGAAAATATCGTTTTGATTTTCTCGAATAAAAAACTCATCGTAATACTTTTGATCACAAAAAGAGAAATGTGCGTTATAAATAGAATTACATTAACAGGACCTATTTGAAAATATCAATTTGTAGCGCCAAAAATGGTATTTACTTTGCATTTCGATTTGCTCGACTTGCTCGACATACATACTACATACATATAATCAACCTTTACAACAATTAATTTACAAATTTAAAATATATTTAAATTAAAGTATGAAAATATAAGCATTTCGTTTATTGTTTAAAACATATTTTGCACTTGTGTTTGTTGTATGTTGTTGTTGTTGTACCTAAGCTAGTACCATGCACATTCTTAATTAAATTTAAATTTAGATCTTTTAAATCTTTTCAATATATGTGTATATTAACATTTTGTAGTAATTTTCATAATCATTTAAATTTTGTTATGTTAAGTTTTGTTTTGGCAGTGTTTACAATTTTTTCTTGTTTTCGCTACAAACAAAACAAAAAAAATATATTTTATAAATGTGTTTTTTTATAATTTTAATTTTTTGTTTCATTCTAATATATTTATATTGAATGTGGCTTATAAGTTCATTTTTGTTCAGTTTTTTTTTATATATTTTGCTAGAAAAAATTATTTTGCTTTGGTAAATATTTGATGTCAACAATTTAAATGCAAATGTGAGTACAATTTATTTATGCTTCAGCGTTAAAATGAAATCAAACAAAAACAAATTAACAAAAATTGTTCAGGCGAAACGATAATTGAAGGAGATAAAAATATTAACAAAACAATTAGAGCAACGAAAACAAAAATTTCTATCGTATTTTACATTCTCAAATTGTTTTTTTTTTCATTTCTTTTTTTTTCATTGCTTGTGCTTGTGTGATGTGTGATTTTGATTAATTAGCGCTTTAACTCTATCATTCTTCTCTTCTTCGCTGCTTATGATGGCACACAGTTGCTGTAATGCTCACTTTCTTCTCAGATGTCTCTTCACATATGGCGCTTCATGTGAAGGGCCAGGTGATCAGAGCGCGAAAAGCAGCGATCACAATTGCGACACTTAAAGGGCTTGGCTCCAGTATGTTTGCGATAATGTCGAGTGAGCTCGTCGCTTCTAGCGAAACGCCACTCGCAGCCATCCCAGGAGCACTTGTACGGCTTCTCACCTGCAACGACAGAAGTTTGTTAAGAAGGTTTAATGAAAGTACATTGGAATCGCTAGTCTCTGCTTATTAAATAAGTTACTCTCTGAAAATTGTATCAAGCGTTGAATGCAGTACAAGTTGTTGCCATTCCTTTCCCCTGCAGCCAGCACAAAAAAATATATAATATATAGCACATAATATAGAGCAGATTCAGAGGGACGCAATGAAATAACGAAATAGCTGCTGGGCAAAAGGTAGCAAGGATAGGACGCCATAATTTTTATACTTTACGGCAGCGAAATGAAAAAAGTTTTATCAACGTTCAGCTGGGTGGGAGGTTCTTAGTGATGTGCATAGTGTCTGAAATGCTTAAAATTATAATTTTACTTTTTTAAACGGATGTCAAATGGCTCTCATGACGAATGCCCTCTCAAGCTCACTTGTGTCATTTGCGAAAGTATTGAAAATCGTTTTTCTTTTTGTGGGTAAACCATAACAATGAATAACTGCGAACGGATAAGTGAACGGCAGAATTGAAGACAATTAAAACTGAAATAAAAAAATTAAAATTATAAAAAAAGAGGGAATAATGAAATGTCGGCTATCGGAATTTACGTTAAGATCGAAGTCAGTGAAACGGTTTGCCAAATCGCGAATCTCTTTGCCAACAGTTTTCATGCGTGCCAAAAGCCTCAAACGATGCGGCAAAAACAGTGGCCAATGCGCCGAAAGCCAGTTACAGACCTAGTGCCAGTAACAGAGCTCAAAAGCGCCAGCCAGGCAGGACAAGCAGCCCTGGCAGGAAAAAGGGAAAAGGAAATGCAGAAGTTGTAATTTCACACAAAAGCATAAAACCTAAAAATGCACAAAGAGTGAAGCACAGAGCACAGAGCACAGTACACAGTACACAGTTGTGCCAGAAAAAATGGCAAAATTATTTGAGTTTAAAAGACAAACAGCAGCCAAAGCAGGAAATTGCCGGCGTTGCCTTCGCTGTTGCCGCTGTGGAGAAAAGCAGTGGAAAATGGAGCCAGATAACCGGCAAAGTAAACGACAGCCAAGAAAAATACATAAAGCTGAGCGGAAAACTTTGTAACGCACACCACAGCAGCTTATATATACACATGTATATTACATATACATACGTACACAAATATATATATAGTATATATACACAGCTTAAAACTTAATGCACGCGGAAATGTGTGATATTTCCGTGCTCAATTTCACATTATGCACTTGCGGCCAACTTGCTTGCCTGACGAAACAAACGACTCGCCAACGATCCAGCAAGCAACAAACAGCGCTCTCTTAATTTCCATTTGTTTGCTCTCTGCTTGCTGCAGCGCTGTCCAGTGATGCGTCGCGGCGTTGCAACAAGGGACACTTCACTCCTTGCCTGTGGGTGTGGGTGTCCTACCACTTGCACTTTGGCATGTTGTCAGAACTGTGAGCGAGACATTGAAGCAAGGGCTATAAATATATAGGGTGCCCGAAAAACACTTACACCACTTACACCACACGCACTGTGCTGCTGTGGGTTTGCTATGTGTATGGGTTCCTGGTAAAATGCTTTGTCATTGACTTTTGGCATTTTTCGCAATTTTTTGGTTCTTGCCTGCGTAAATCACAGTCAAGTGCACAAAGCACTGGGCGCACAGATACAGCTGCAGCTCCGACCCGAGAGTCTCATTTCAAAGCACATTTGAACGACATACATAGAACCTAGATTACTAATAGAACTAGCAACCAGTTACACTGCAAATTGCTCATGATTTGTTTGCTGATCTGTGCAGTTGAATCAATTGTTTGATCTTTAGCTAAGTTTGATTGGATTGTTGGCCGTATTATAGCTGTCTACGAACATCTCTACTCGCAATCAATCTTATAAACTTCTTAAAGTAGCTTAACAATCATTTACTGGCCGTGCTAAAGTTTTCTTTTTTGTAAAGGGTTTCTTATTCTGGTTGTTAATTTATTGTAGCGAGCACTGTTAAAACTTAACCTCAGCTATTTGTTTCTATACATAAAGTGCCTCCTTTCTTCTCGTATTGTTAGCGCATTTGTAAGGTGTTGGCAGGGTGTTGGGAAGGGCGTAGCAATTGCAGTCAGCTGCAGTACGGGCAGCGGCCGCTTAACGTATAGCCCCGAGCCAGTTCATATTTTATAAATTTCGCTGGCGTTGGGTTTTAATGTCAGCAGCCAATAGGAGAGAAAGAATGCCTCTGCGAGCGACATGCAATGCGCGGTGCAAGGAAAGCTCTCGGCATTCCTTTCACTACACACTGCAGACTGCAGACTGCACGCTGCACGCTGTACGCTGCACGCAATTCTTTAGCTTTTCTTTTATGCGCTATGCGCCTTCTCGGCTTTTGCACTCAACACAATTTTTATGGTCTGCTTGCGTCTATCCGCGCGATTGCACTAGTAATCTTTTCTTAACGGCAGTGCCTTACTCCCACCAGCTATTACAAACCTCGAGCTGCCCACAACTCTGTCTGTTGTTTTTATAGCCATAGCGTTTAACTAATTGAAATCTTTTGCGCACTGCGCACATTTATTGCCAACTTTTATGCGGTGCGTTTTAATTGATTATCAATTGTAAAATATTCGCGCGTTTGCTAGTTATTTAATTAATTTAATTTAAGCTAAGGCCGGAGACAACAAGAAGCTTAATCAAGGCTCCTTTAAATTAATGTATGCCCAGCTGACTTCTGACGTGTCCTAAACCCGGAACCTTGTGCCCCAAAAAACCCCGATTGGACATCTAAGTAATAGCTGCCCATCAATAACGTTGCGCCATTTCTCTAAATTAAAGCGGAACTTCTTCCGAAAATGTGTCCGAAATGATGCAAAACGTAATTCATGAAAATGATTCTTTAATTTCGTTTCATGCATGCAAGATGACATCAAAATAATTACTTTTTTTTTTCAAAGGACCCGAAAGCCAAAGGTAGAAATATTGTAAAAACGTCGGGCCAATGAAATGTTTTAATCTTTTATCGTCTGTAGACATCGTGGCTTTGACTTATTTCGTCTGTTCTCTGCGTATGCCACATATATAACTAATTACAAAGCTTAATCAGCTGCTTTTATGCAATAAGCTTGGATTAAAACAGTTAAGCCTGAGCACAAAACTTTTATCTATTAGTTAACACCCCGAAATTATGGAAGCATAAAACGAAAATAAACATCAACAAGCCCAAGAATAACTACAACTTATAAAAGAGCAAACATTTCTGAAGGGAGGTCAATTAAGCACGTTCCAAGATGCCCCGCTTCTCAATACAAGGCAAAGCAAGACCAGACATGGCATGGCGAGAATATTGTTTCAAGACAGAAAAAATCTTTGTAATTTTAAAGATAATTGCGTTTAATATTATTATATTAACTAAGGGCCTTTAAGCCTTTTCACACTCAGCTAACTTATTGATTGTTCAAAACAAAAGAGAGGAAATATATCAGAGAACGGTTCTGAATAGTTGCCCACGTAGAATTATCCTGATTCAGCCCTGTATGTCATGGAAATCTATTAAACGAAATGGAGCCGTTTAATCAAATAGGCAATAACAGTTATTACCAATAGTATATGACGTATGCTGAGTTAACGTATTTGTATTGCATGAATTTGCCTGTTAAATTTTAAACTCCTGTAAAACGCATTATCATATGCACACCGATGGAAATTCATATGTATAGGTGACTGCGATACTCTCGCTCTTAAATCTCTGATGCTGATGCTGATGGGGCAGCAATAAAATATCATTTCATCGGCGGGTCTGTGTGGAAAAGCAGGATTTTGTATGTATGCGTGTTACCAATAATTCATTTTTGAATTATGTGATTTTTATTGAAATTTCAAGCCTCGTCTACGTCATTTAAGGATGTTTTTGGTCGCTCGGCTTCTGCACTTGACTTATATATATATGTGTGTTTGCGGCAACATTCGCTGTGTGTTGGCAGTGGAATATATTGGGACAATGGCAGCAAAACAATGCAACGTGTCACTTGTGTCCTGTCCTGTGTTGCTCTCCTGTTCGGGTCACCGATGCGATGCTCTCTGGGGCTGTTATGTTGTTTTCACAGCACTCTGATTTATTAATAGGGAGCAGCAACCCGAAACTGAGTTTACACATTTATGTCCCTGTTGTTTATTTTTTCAGAAAAGTGTTTAAACATGCATTGGACTTAATGATACTATTGTAGAATTGCTTAATGTGCAGAAAATATACTACAACATATTTGATTCCCTGTACTCAGCGAGTGGAATATGTGCCTTACCTGTGTGGGTTCTTTGGTGCGCCTTCAGATGTGAGCTTTTTGTGTAGACCTTTTTGCAGCCCAGGAATTGGCACTTGTGTATCCGACGTTTGGCGTCCGGACTGTGATCGATGTGATGCTGGCGCGGGTGATGATTTTTGGTAGAAGCTGTGGAATTAACTTGGTTAGGCAGGAAAAGGAAAGTTAGGGAAGGGTTATCAATGCATACCAGTTGTTGATTTTTCAGACATTGATGTGACCACGGCAACAATTGGTGGCGTCGGCTGCTGCCGCTGAGAAGCCGATTGCTGTTGCATCGCTGTTGTAGTGCCAAGATTAGTACTGCTGCAGCTGTTGTTGCCGTTAGTGTTGTTAGCCGCTGCGCTAAGCACGGCAGCAACATTAGCATTGCCATTGTTCTGCATTTGTATGACACGTGCTAGGCTGATCCCAGCGGCTCCAGGTGTTCCATTGGCTGTGGTCAGCCGCACGATTGTACTGCGCGGAATGTTGTTGAGGTTGTTCGCCGACAGATCAGCGCTGCTATTGCTGTTGTTGTTGCTGCTGCTATTATTATTGTTGTTTAGGCTGCTTGCCGAACTTCTATTGCTAGCTTTGTTTAGTACTTGCGGCGATATGCTTAAATGCTGCACTGCCAACTGTTGCTGCTGCTGCTGCAGCTGCAACGTTGTGGCTTGCGTTAATGAGGAATTCTTGGCACCAGGCGTTTGGCCGCTAAAGTGCAGAATGGCGGACGCGGGTGAGGAATTTGCTGCTGCTGCCGTTTCTGCTGCAGTTTGCTGTCGTTGCTGCTGGTGGTGCTGTTGCTGCTTGAGGATCGCAGCCAACTCGTTGGCATCGATGTGTTGCGGTCGTTGCTGTGGCGGCTGTGCATAATTATGACTGCGAAGGTTGGACTCGGGCGATGACGGCGGCGTTAGCGGAGGAAGCAGAAAGTTATGTACGTGGTCTTGACCAAGTTGATAATGCCGCTGCGACTTAGCCTGCACCACTCGAACCTTGATAGCCGGCGCACTACTGTTGCTTGAGCTCAGGGTGATAGTATTGCAGCTGGTGTTGCTGCTGCTTATGCTCACAGTGCTGCTGTTGACGGTGCAGTTGCTATTACTGGTGGGTGTCATGTTGCCGGCGCTGCAGATACTAGGATTGGGAGATATTGCTGAGGGTGGCGCAGCAAACAGCACATCCAATTTCTCATTACACGATAATACATGTGCCGCCTCCTCGTCGTCCTCGTCAATGCGCTCCTGCTTGACCAGGACTGCACAGCTGAGTGCCTGCGAGCCATTGCTATCCCACGATATGCCCGAGCAGTTGGAAGACACAGATGAGGTAGTCGATATCGTGTCCAGGCTCTCCTTTATCTTGAGCTCCTCCAAGAAGCGTGCCGGTGTTGAGAATATGTCCCAAGCAGAGTCGAGATCTGTGATCTTTTTGTAGGTCTGTAGCTTAGGTTCGTCTCGCAGGTAGCGCTCCAGTTCATAACATGTCTGCAATACAATGACAAAAGGAAATATTGTAAGCACTCTGTAGCAGCTTGACTGGGATTTGTCTTTCCTATGGTATCAAGAAACCAAGAAAAGCTTTATATTAAGTTATGCTTGCCATGCCAGCGAAATTTACTTCACTTTGCATCGTATAATATTATTAAAGAATTGTCAAGAACATTAAATTGATAATTTAGTGACCTGTGGCGGTGTTATATTTTGGTTCATGGTTCATAGGATCCATTAATTGTAAGTTATGTTTGATGTTCCGGCGCAATTACATGTTCAAATTTTGTACAGCAGATTTATAAGCACTGCATACTTATAGGTTCACGACCAGTGAGAACAAAGTTCACTTAACGACGTGTTGCTTAATGGTGTTACTGCTGTGAACACTAAAAATGGACGTAAATAAAAGAAGTAAGTTTGCATTTGGGTCTGGCAACTGGTCTGGCGTCGCCTGCTGGGTAATAATAATTTTAATAGAGCTGCAGTCATACCAGCTAAGTCGGTGTTTGTCTCCATAAGCCAACAGGTCTGAAAAGTGACGTGGGCACTTCTCATGCGTTAGGTGAAACAATTTGTAGAAGGTGCAGCAACAGGCACTTAAAGGTACTACAAATTGCACACATGGCCAATATTATGGGTTGTTATTGCTGGCAACCCAGTTCGTCTTAACAAATCTTATTAAGCACAACACAAAAGCGAAAAATCAATGACCTGGAATAAATAGCATGGCCACAGGATCTGTTTCGAGTTGCGCATTCCACATTTGCTTAGGTTTGCTATTTTGCTTTTCATTCTCATTCCCATTCTGCGAGCATGCTCGGTAAATCACTTTAAGTGTTATTTCAAGAAAATAATTGCAATACATAAATTTCTTAACCCTTTCAAGTCGCCAAACAAGTTGCGTGTGTGAATTACGAACAGAGCCAACAACAAGAGAAAACTATAAATGGTTTATGATTCAGCACTGCGGCGTTGGCGTCTCGGCGCGAGGAAACGAGGAAACGTTGCGGGGATAAAGTCCATGATTAATGTGCGGCTGCTGCACTTAGTTTCCATTTCCTCCTGGCCAGAAACCCTTCAGTCAGACAATGCAGTGCTATCTATGTGCAAAAATCTAAATAAAATGTAACATGCATGCCCGCTGTTCGGAATTTGATATATTGTTTAAACACTCCCGACGAAGCACACACACGCTAGATACAACATGCTAGACATACATCTAAAACAAATGCAAATGCCAGTTGAGCTAAGGCTGATCTGAGTCTGAGTCGTAGTCTGAGTCTGAGGCTAAGCTTGCCATCACTATTGCCATCGCCATCGGCATCCTCCAGGATGCTATCAGAAATGGCATTTTGAGTTATGTGCTTTGCCGCCAACTGCGTTGCCAACAAATCACCTGCCCAAAACGAAGAGCATTGCCAGAAAGATTAGGACGCGACTTTTAAATTGCTCACGGTGGCGAGCCAAACAGTATCAGAAGCAAATCGCCAAATATCCGACTACACTAGACTATATATGGACAACTGGAATGAAAGCGCCTTAAAGCGCCAAGGCTAGTGGGTGCACAGTCCGGGCATTTGCCAAAAGATTACTAAAGCGTGTCAGTCAGACAAAGCACTGAAACTGGCTGGATATCCATTAAGCATAATTAGTTTCAACAATTTCCAATAGAGATTCTGATAAGCTTATGTTTAAATAGAAGCAACTGACAGATATCAGATATGAGGTTAACCTGAATACGCCAACATAATTAAGGATGTACACAGTGTGGATATGTCTAAAGTGTAGGAAACATTCAAGGATACTTAGTCTGGGAAGCTGGCGTCATTCTATAATCCCGCTGATGTGTGGCCTCAAAAAGTTTCCGGCTAAGCAAAAAACATTTTCCTCATTTGTATTTAATAGAAATTTATTTGCAGCGCTCTTGGGCTGCTATCTCTTTGCGTGGGTGGGAAATACTTTTGCACACTTTTTGCCAGCAATTTATGTGGCAAGTGCACAACAAGGGCGCAACTGAACGAAGAATATGTCAGAGCCAAATGGCTTAATCTATGGCATAAGTTGGCCGCATAAAAAAAAAAACATTTAATTTCCGTTGCGTCCATTTTAGCTTTGGTTTTTGTGTCAACACAGTTTCTCTCTATGTATCTGTTCTTTTTCGCTCCTAAAATGTGGTTTTCACTTCCGCTCAAGATGTTACGCACCTTATGGACGACAGTGAGCAGCATTTTGTTTCTGCTTTACTTTTTCCAAATACTCAAGGTAAAGTGGGATCTTTACGTACCTAAATAGGAAAATAGGAATCGTATTAAGTGGTTTTAAGTCTGACATTAATTGAAAATCGATTTAATAATTTGAAAAGGATCTGCGAGAATTCGAAAGAAAACGCTTAGACATTTAACATGCTGAATGATGCTAGACACATAAACTGAAATAAACAAAGCGGCCTCAATGTTTGCACGAATTGAAAGCCCTCAAATTGCCAGCCAGCCAGCGCCTCTCTTTAGACTCTTTAGCGCTTGGGATGAAATTAAATTGAATTTGGCCCACAGCAAATACAGATTGCGAGGGAATGAGGCGAACATGTGCGCCCAAATGTTTTCAATGCTAATGTTAAATAAAAGCCTGCGATTAAATTTAATTATCAGCATGTTTATTAAAATCTACAAAATGTGATATGAACTAAGGCTGAGTCTATTGCACAATTGGGAGAGATTTTAAGTATTTGCCGGCATATACACACACTCAGTAGATAATGTTTACCTACGCTATCGCACACCGCCCTCCCGGTATACATAGTGAGTCAGATATAGAGACAGACTGAACATATTTAATTATGTGTGTAATTGAAAAAGACGCAGCAGCAGTTAAGAGGCACGTCGAAGTCGATGATGACGACGACGACGACGACGATGGCAACGACTACGCCAAAAAATCTTTTTAAGGCTATTATGCGGCACATGTCTTGGGCGCCCTGCTGTCTTTTCTCTGAGCTCTGGGATTCTGTATTTGTGTAATATTCTGTGCGTGTTTGTGTATTAGAAAGATATTAGCAGACGCTCTGCCGCTAGGCAGAGCCTGCGGTTTTTATTTTCTACCCCGAGAAGCAGCTGCTAACTTACTCGCAAAGTATGCTATCCACAATCACACCATATACCAAATTTTCATTGCGTATATATGTATGTCTGCATTGTCATTTAATGAGCCATAATTCCAGAGAGCTTCGCCTCATAAGACCTCTGGGATGTGTTCAGCATTTTTTCTCTGTCTTCTTCTTCTTTTTTTGTCTGTGCGCCTCTTTGGGGGCTGCCATTTTGAAAGTTTTAATGAACGAAACGTAATGAAATTATACCCACAATTAATGTCATCGTGACCAGGCGCTTTAAACTTAACAATTTAAGAAGTCGTTAAGCAGAGCAGCGATAATGGAGCAGAGAAAGGAAAGAACTGTCTGTAGTTGGCTTATGATAAGTGATTACTCCATTCTATTTCACAAATGTTTTTAATCTAAAATTAAAATAAATATTGAATTCTTCAAAATAGAACCAGAATTGTGGAACTGTCGCAGCAATTGATAAATTTTGTGGATTATTGGATTATTGCAACAATTGTTGCCATTGACATCTCACTGTGCGGCTCCTGCTTGTTATCTGTCTGGTTGTAAGTAACTGTGAGTGCAACAGAAGCAGCAGCAGCAGTAACAAAAATAACATCGGTAAGTCAGTACGTTTGGCAATAACAATCAGCCAAAGACAAACGACAGGCCACTAAAAGCTAGAGTTGTACAGCAGGAGCAGAAAATTGAATTATTGACGTTACTGCACACACACATACATACATACACATTACAAAGTTTAATGTGTTCATTTACTTCTTGGTTTTTTCTGAATGGGTTTAGACCCATCTAACGCCCCTTGCTGATGTCGCGATGTTATTGTTGTTGGTTTTGTTTGCTTCTGCTGCAACTGTTGTTTGTTTTTGGGGGCACAAAGTGCACTTAAAGTGCCACAACATCAGCAGCAGTCGCAGCAGTCGCAGCAACGACAACAGCAGCAACAGCAACAACTGAAAACCAACTTAAGTGTCTGACACAAAAGGCGTTGCATAATTTCAGGCATTATGCTAATTTAAAAAGTTGCCGACTGCTCAAGCAGTAACAACGGCAGCAACCTTTCACATAAGTAGTTTGAAACAAGGGAACAGATGCGAGCAAGAAGGATGGAAAATGAGAAGCGACGTTGATCACTTTCGCCCAGGAATGGCGAGCGGAATTCGCTCTTAGGCAATCGAGAAACACTTCAAAACGAACAGAAAGCTCTAGTCGGGGTGCCCGACTCGGAGATACCCTGATCCCAGTCTTATCTACATTTTTTAATATTTTCCATAGTTAAATTATTAATTATTATTAATTAATTAAAAAAAGCGGTGTTATTAAAAATATAGACAGACAGGCGGACAGGGCTCAATCGACTCGGCTTGCTGCCCTGATCAAGAATATATATACTCTGTGGGGTCTACCACACCTCATTCTGCCCGTTACATACATTTGCACAAAACTATTATACCCTGATTTCCCAATGTCAATGGTACAGAGTATAAAAAGTGTCGCAGTGGCAGTGCCAAAAAGTATGCTACACATAACAACAAAAGCAGCAGGGTTGCTGCTTCTGGCAGATTGGTGAGTGAGGGGTGGGGAGTAAGGAGTGTGGAGATGGGGCTTGACGCAACTAATGCGTCGTACGCGCCGTTGAATTTAAATGAGGAATTAATGCGTACATTATTTCTGGTCGTCTTTCGGCTGCTAGCGTCACCCCTCATAACAGCAACCCCAATAGCGTCGAGCTCCTTTGACCGTCCTGTGCTTTTACTTTTGTTAGATATACAAACTGTGTTTTGCCACTTTCCACTTGCCACTTGCCACTTGCCATATGTAGTCCTCTTTTCGGTTCGGTTCGGTTCAGTTCTATTATGTTCTCTTCGATTCCACGACGACT